CTTGCCCGGGATTCGAACCCAGAACCCTTCTGATGCAAGGACAGTTACATTCAAAAACTAAATTATCTTATTTAATCCTTTTCTCAATAAATAAAAATCATTAATGTAATCGATAATCTTCTAATACCACAACTTTGAACTGAATGCGGAATAAAATCTATTTTTAGAGATTCCTTCAACATCTACCTAACACATTTGGATAGAATTCGGAAACCGTTACATGGTTGTAAAGTGCTTTAATCTTATTTGTTAGTTTTTCTCCCTCTTTTTTTCGCCAACACATTTGAATGCGCAAGGCTAAGAAAAATAGCCTTGTCTATAAATTAAATCAATTTATAGCCAATACAAGGATTTTTTAACTTTTCCTGGCGAAAACTGTTCGAACGTATACATGCCACTTGCAATTTTGGAGGTGTCCTGTGGGGCTTACCCCTGCAGCCACACCCACCGGTCTATTTTCAAAATTAACTATTTTAGTTAATTAATGTACACAATGACAACGGTTTTTTAAAAATAATAATAAATTTTGCATAATTGTTCATTTCAGCTAAAAAGTTTACTTACTCATTGTTTCTAGTTTTACACATTTTTCGTTACTTTTTTTGCATTTAATGTATTTTATTTACCCAATTTAGGGTTTACGACTACTAATGCTCAACTCCGTAGCCTTGTAATTTTGAAACCAATACAGAAAACAAGGAAACTCCTGGATCAAGTAATTGGAGAAATTTGTCTTCGTGGAGGACTTTTTGATGGAACTAACCCGCATTTGCGTTACATGGAGAGAAAGACCACGAGAACCTCCCACGGTTAGCCTAACGATGGTACTCGAAGCACCCTTCTGGCTGTCATGAGATTGACAGATTGATCTTGTACTCAGTTACAAGGAACTAAGTGACTTCAATCAGGTAAGTGTAGTTGGTGTGATAAAATTCTGGTTGTTTAAACATATTAGGGGAAAGCAGTTAATAAACAGTTTTTTTTCACAGTATGCAATATGAATGCCATCTTTTTTATGGTTATTTGACTGTTTTGTTTGAATATGGTAAAAAACAATTAAATAAATTGTTATTTAACCATTTTATCCAAGAAATTTCCAACAGAGTAAGGAGTTTATGTTTATTCTATGTGTTCAGTGCAGGTTTTTCAACTTTGCTGATTTTCTACATAACGAGTTCTAAGCTGTCTTTCTTTTTTTATTTATAAGAAAACTGAAATTGCTATTTCTTCTTTTTCTATATAATTTTAATAGCAAAACTTAGAACTTAAAGCACATGCATTTCAAAATCACATTTATCTACATAAACTTATTGCTTAAACAATTTCTAAATACTCAAGTAATCATCTCACTAAACTCCTCTTCCCAAGCATAATTTCAACACTGTGTCTATAAGTCTAGAAAGAAAAGAAATCCTCCTCATATAATCCTAAGACCAAAATTTTGTTTAGATTGAAGTATCAAAATTCTTGTTTGAAAATCCCACTTGCACATCACTTCTTTCATTTATAAAACTTATCTCGAAAGAAGTCTGATAAAAAAAAAAATTGCCTTCCATTTTTTAAAGAAACATTGATCCATTTAAGATATTTTTTGAGATACTAAGAATATTTTTTTTTAGAGAACAAGATTTAAATCCCCATTATGTGTTACAGTATTTGGAACAGTAGTTCGTTGAGAGAAGGAGGAAAAATACATTATATTTTGAAATTTAAATTTTTTTTGCAAACTGAGTGTTTTTTGAATACATTTTACTTGACATTATAGGATTTTGCGCATTCATATGACCAAAAATCTCCTTGAAATTGTTAGAACTAAACTTTCTTGAAAAGAGCAAGTTTTAATCATATCAGGGATTGTGCTAAGAATTAATATTGCATAAACATTTTGCTAATTTTTATTTAAATTACTGCATAAAAATAATTTCGCATCTGTTGTAATTATGCTCGCTCTGAGTAATACAGGACCATAATATTTACATAAAATATTAATGATAGGTGATATTTTTTTAAATCATAAAATAGCTATCTGCTTATTCATAGAAACTTCGTGACCCGATGAAGATGACCGGTTTCCTGAAACAGGTCATTTGTTATGGGAAGATGAACGACTTTGTGACTCGACAGATTTAACGTGCAACAGTCATCATTTACTACACGGCGAGTTTTTGGCTGGCGAGGATCGAACCAACGAGCTCTTGGATTAAGAACAGTGCCCTACCAGTCAGGCTATCCTGGCCCTATGCCTAGGTATGCAGAGAATGGAAGGTAATAATTACATCATGTACAAGTTTCACAACATATTCAATTGCCAAAAATAAGTGGTCTAACGAAGGCACAGCCTTTCCCTTGGTATGCTGGAGCCTTGATGGGACAGTAGTCTCGGCACTGAGCTGTCATTTGATGGACTTCAGTTCAGTGCCCGGTAACAGCCTTCCGATATCTATTCTTGTGCCTCGATGGCACAGTAGTAAAAGCACTACTGAGCTGCCAGTTGAAGGGCTTTAGTTCTGTCCTCGGTGACAGCCTTACGATATCCATGCTTGTGTCTCAATGGCACAGTAGTCAAGCCACTGAGCTGTCATTTGAAGGGATTTAGTTCTGTCCCCGGTGACAGTCCTCGGATATTTATGCTTGTGTCTCGATTGCCCGGTGGTCCGGGACGAGTTGTCACTTGAAGGGCTTGAGTTCACTCTTCGGTAACAGTTAAGCACACCCAACTTCTAATCGATGCGTGCTAGCTTGTTTAGGAAGTAAAGGTGGTCGATCTCATTGCCACCATTATGTAGATTTCGGAATTGTTGAACCTAAACCTTTATTTCCTTCTGGCCTGCAGCGGGATATTGCGAGAATAGTATTTATTATTATGTAACTACTATGATAATTATAATAGAAGTAATCGTTAAGAAATTTCAACAATAATAATATAGTTAATAAGAAATTTCCCCAATAATAATATAATTTCCAAAAATAGTAATATATAAAATACTAGCTGAATACCCGTTCTTCGCAGGTTGTGATTAAAAAAATAGCAAAGTATCAATAAATCAGTACTGAGAAAATATTACGAAATCATGTTCAGAATTGAAAAGCATATACCGACACAATTAAAGAACTTGATGGAAGAACGAGGCAAGTGAAATTTTTAGGGTAATTAATGAATCAGAGAAAACAGCAAAAAAATGGTTGCATCAATATGGGTATGTTTATTGTAACAGATCTGTTTTTGCCTTCGCTTTAATCTTAACTTAACTAAACATATCAGTTTTAGTATGCTTGCATGATTTTTATTTCAAATTGGCAATGGTAAATAAAACTCTTTTTTCGTTCTGAATATGCCACTTACCTGGTTTTTATACTAAGGTTTTTAAGTTTTAGCTAAAATAATTTCAATTTTTCTATTTAGCATTATCTGTTGCCTTTTTTGGTGGCTTCACGTCATTGAAGTAAGAAAAACTCGAATATAGTACCTGATATGATTGGTTATGTTATGAATGTTTCTTATTTCTTGTACAAAGCTTGTTTCTTTTATTTTAATATGAATATATTACGTAAATTAATTGAGTATCAATAATAATATGGTGATTTCTTACGTTTCTTCTTAAAGAATTAGCACCACAATCGCATTAATTTTACCTTTAAATATAAAAAATATTTTTTTTCTATTCAATTACTTTTGATTTTAAATAAAAAAAATTTTAGAAACACGTTTTAAGAGAGATATTATAAAAATTATAAAAAGGGGTGTGGTATCAGACAATGCTTAAAAGTATAAATTTGGTGACGTAAACCACGTGTGATACCACGTAATGTTTTCCCACGAATTTAAATAGCGAATATGAAATAATAAAATACTATTTAAATACATGCAATAAACTATTTTTTGCATTAAATAGAGTTATAAGCTGGAAACGACGTTAGTATAGTAGAAAGGGTATTTTCTACGATTCATTTAAACGAAATTCTCCTTAATATTTTCTTTATGAACTTAGGTTTTAACATGCAGCTTAATTTTTTTTACGTCAATTAATACATATTATCAGTATTTATTAAACATTGGTATTAATAATAATATTGCGAATAATGATACACATAAAGCGAATAAATATCTTTCCTCCATAAGCTTTTCTTTTCTTTTGCAGATAGGTTACTTTTTTATTTCAATAAATATTCATTATCAACATTAATTAAGCATCATTATCATCAATAATAGCATTTTGACTTTTTTACTCTTCGTCTTTGCTGATTAGTACCACTTTTCTATTAATTTTGCCTTTGAATACATAATTGATCTTTTTTCATTACAATTACCGTTGATTTCAAATTACTTTTTTCTTATCAAAACACATTTTAAAAGTATTATTATAAGCAAAATAAACACGTGATATCAGGTAACTTTAAACATATTAATTTGCTGACATAGTCAATCTTGCTAATATTGATTTTATCTGTCACAGTGTATGAAAAATAATTAAATATTAAAGTGTATGTAATTAAATTTTCTGAAGAAATAGACCTATAAGTTAGCTATATATATATATATATATA